ATAATAATAATAATAATAATCATGTGTTACCATAACTTCAGAGTTGGAAGGAGGTGTTTAAGGGTATTTGGCAGTTCCTTTGAAGAGGGAGAGGAGGTACTTGAATTAAAATTCACTGCTGTTTTCTTTGATTTTTGTCAAGGGGAGAAAGGAAGGAAAAAAGCATTTTAATACAGGTTTCCTTAGCTCAACCAGGCCAATGGGAAATTTGAGACTGCAAACTGCAGCCAATGTAATGGGACCCGTGTTACATCATATCAAACACTATGTTGCAAAAACAAGCTATCTGGGGTTTTGGGGGCACTTTCATGACAGAATTGGATTATCCAGTTGATATTACAGAAGCACGTCAGTAGAGTGATTCTATTTTTTTAAAAGTTAGCAAAAATGTGAATTAGTTTTCAGGAAAATGGCCCGATTCTGACTTTAATTTTTTCCCACCGGTATTTTCCTCATTTTAAATCTAAATTTGGGTACTACTGACAGGAATAGTTCACAAAGACACCACTATCCAGTCAAAGTTCTCAAGATTTCCTTATACTTGATTTTGTGTTATTATTGTTATCATTTTGGGCTGTTTTCAATAATGCAAGAAGTTTTGTTTTTAATTGATAGAGAGCTAGTAAGGTTTATGAACACATCATTAACCTTACATGTTGGAAAATATTTCACTTGATACACTGTATCTTCAGCATATCTAATATTTCCTATTTTTAATGGTTATACATAAAATGAAGGAGCACATTTCTGCAGTTTAACCCAATAAAATCAATTCTTCTACAATATATACATGACCACCCACCTCCCTAAGGCAGCAGGCAAAATTCTTCTCTTTCTTTCCTGTATCCACAGCAACAGTTTTAATTTTTGTTTTTAAACATCTTGAAATTGAGAAAAATGAAGCTATATCACTGACTTCTGGTGGTTATAAGAATTGTGACCAATATACATGATAAAAAGCTTACTCTAAGATCTGGACCTGTTGGTACAGGTGGTTAGATCTTGCATAGCAATCCAGGTAGTGGGTTTCAAGTTCATATTGGCCAATTATCTTCACCCAGAGAATTTCTATTCCAAAGACACCAATTTCACCCCAACCCTTGCCAACCATCTCAGAAATCCAGGCATTTGGTCACAAGGAGGTGGAAAAACTAGTATAGATGGCTCAACATAAATCCATCATCACTACTAAAAAAACCAGCATAAAAAGAGATGCCCTATTAACTAGGTTCTAGATTCATAGTACCTTAGTATCATAATTCAGGTGATAGAATATATTATAGTAATTAAGATCCAGTCTCTCTGATCTTTATAAATTTTATAAGATTTTATTAAAAACACATTTATTGTATGGGCTTATATAAGTTAAATTTTTTTGGCCTTATACCAAATTGGTTCATATGGACATCAGCCGTGGTATCCTAATATTAGAATTCAGATTTGCCTAACAAAATTTCTCATTAAAATTTTATTTGAAAGCCATTAGGTTTACAAAGGGTTACTTTCCAAATAAAACGTTTAATTAGTGTGTAGTTTAGAAAACTAAAATGGTTGTTCATGGCCCCTCCATGTCTCAAATTTAGGGAAAAATTAAAATAAGGAATGCGTCGTCGAAAAATATCAACTATTAAAAGTTATATACAGTAACAAAGAGTATTTTCCCATAATTACTACAAATCCTTTAAGCCTAAGCCTCGTTAGTAGAAATTCTTCTCTCATCTAAAAGTATTGAGAAGGGGCATGTCAGAAAATTAGTATTTTAAATGGGGGATAAAGTGGAGACAGGGTTTTCCATGGAAAATAAGGGTTTCAGGAAGAGGAAGAGGTTAGATAATTTGATTTCAGGCAGGAAAGCCTTGCAAAGCAGGTTTTGGGGGATCTCATAAGATATCAGTGATAATCCAATAAGCATTAGTGAATTCTTTGTGCTCCATAGTTATGATCAGCCATGAAAACCATTTGTTTTACCATTTTGTTGAGTGATGTGTTAATGTAAAAATGATACTAGATAATGAATACAAGTAAACTATTTATAATACAGAACATCATACAATTTTAAACTCTAAAACACAACTTTTTACACATATTTTTAAAAATTATAAATCAATACACATTCATTGTGGAAAACCCAAAATGTAACATGTGCAGATATAACTATTAATGTTAACACCTTGTAGGATCAGATGTTTATCAAATAGCTTTTCCTATGTCTGCCTACATATTTTGTAATGGAATCAAACAGAGTAAGCTGTTATAGGCTCTTGACTTAATTTGTCATGAACATCTTTCCATGGCACTGAGTAGATGTCTAGAATATTCTTATTAACGCTTCCTTGTATTCTCCTGCCATTATCAATGGACTTCTAGGTTCTACCCTTTTTTTTTTTAACTTTTATAAATAGCACAGTGAGGAACAGTCTTGCACCTAAATTTTTATTCACATCCATAATTATTTCCTTAGGATGAATCTCTAGAAGTAAAATTTCCCAGTCAAAGGCTCTACATCAAGCCTTTTGCCATCAGAGTCTAATTGCCCTACAAACAAAGGTTAGCACGGGCATCAGCCACATATGAGTATGCACAATTCCCCACACATACTAAAACCACTTTAAAAAAACTTGACCAACTTGATGTGGAGAAATGAATCTCACTATAATTTTTATTTGCATTTGTTTGAGTAGAACATGGAAGTCATTTTAAATGGCCCCAAGAACACCTTGGGTTACTGGACTTACAATTTACTGGAAGTAGGTAACACTGCCTCTACAAGGTCTTCCACCCTAAGGTTGTTTGAACTTTCTCTATGTGTTGCCAAAACACTTAAATATTAAGTTTAAATTTTCATTCATCAGCTATCTGTTATGCTTGTGTCAAAATCCTTAAATGTTTGATATTTGGATGAAATAACTGGATCATGGAATGACATTGCATTTTCCATGTCAATATTTTGATGTGGTTTGACTTTAGCCAGTGATGCCTTTCCAACTACTTATTTGGTATTGAAGTCATTATTTTTCCCATCTTCAAAATTTCCATGCATTTAAAAGAGTACGGTGCTAGCTAGGAATCACATAACTTTATTGAGTAAAATGAGTCAAATTTAAGTAATATTTAAAAACATCTTGCTCTTTGGCATTATGAAGAACTACTCCCTCAGTACCATCCCCTCTAAGGAAAACAGACACTCAACTTCACATAGTTACCTATTGTAACCTATCCAGAGCAGACTGAGCACAGAGAGTGAGATAATTTAATTAAGGTGCCAACACTGTCCTGCATAATGAGATAATCCACATGGGTAATCAACACCTAAACAGGAGGAAAAAAAAGATACTAGAAGCTTCATCTCCATGCCAGTTCCACCATCTTCTCTAATCTCCTACAAGAAATATACCTGAGATTGTTTCATATGCAATCCATTTTGTACACAACAGTATGCCGATATTTGCAAACACACACTATGCTATAAAGCAACAGGAGAGCTAACATGAAATTTAAGCCTTTGCTTCAAATTCCATTCTTCAGAAGACAAACTCATATGAAAAATAAATAAATAATAAATAAGAGCTATTGACATTTTCTGCTTCTCCTACAGTTACCAACCCCTTTCAGCTAGGGAGAGGTGCTAGTCAAGCTGCCTTCTAATGGGTGCTTATGAATCCATAAAAGTATAGGTAAAAAAATGTTCTTTTTAAAAACACAGAATTAATATAGATTCCATCTGACAGGAGTCAAACACAAGTAAACATATTCAGGTGAAACAAAGGAGGTAATAAAATGCCATTCATTGATTTATTACTAATTTCACAATATTCCAAAATTAATCATCCATAAAGTATCTATAAAGAGGGAATTGTAGGGAGAAAAGGAATAATCTCCCTACAAAGCAGTAAGAGTCTCAGTGAACTTATCTGCAAAATGGGGGTATTAGAATAGACGAATTTCTTATTATGAATGTCAGTGGATCCGAAACAAGTCTTTTTTTTGTAGCAATGGAAGTATCAAAGGGTCTAGATTTGATCTGCTTTAGAAAAGAAAGGTGAGAGAACAGATCTAAGGAAAAAAATACAGCTAAAATGATCAAGCCCATACTATAACAGGTAACTAAAGGGAACCAAAATGGTTTCTCAATTCAAAATAGTTACTTTTTATAAAGTGTTTTTTCTGGATCACATCCCTCATGAAAACATCCATTTAAGTAATTTTAGATTTAAAAAGATGTGAAAATGTGATTTTAATTAAAATTACAATGATTTTCATAGTAGACACATTTTACCAACTAATGAGCAAAAGAATTTATTACTTACCATTTGTCATTAGAGGTCATTTGATTAGAGGGCATTTAGATAATACTGAAATTGTACAAAAGGTAACATAGATGCTAATGTGCTAGGAAATAAAATAAATGCTTCTTTATAAAAATATATTGCATTTTTCTTTTTTCATAAAAGTATTAAAATGGTAGCTTAAAAAATCAGCCTGCAATATTTTATAAACATTCTTATTTGACACTTTTTGAGTCTGTGAACATCTTTTTGAGTCTGTGAACTTCATACCAATTTTTTTCAAATGCACAATGTCAGGAATACTTATAGACTTTAAGACTGGTTGTACAGTATAAAGGTCACAAGTGATTAGTATATGGTATGGAAAAAGCTTTTTAAATCTTATGTTAAATTTTAATATCAATAATCACAGAAAGAAGTGATGTTTGTATCTGAGGTCTTTATATTTCCAGCCGCCTGAAGACACTGAGTCTTATCAAAATTGTGAGCTTAAACACATTGCTCACACTTTTCTTTTGGGAATCTTTAATTTATGTGATATGTTTAAATAAATGGAAGTCAATTATTTATTTTGGAGATCAGATGAGAAATCACTCTTAAAACTTGTAAAAATGTACCAGACTACACACTATTCGGTATTATTTCTACCTGGCATTAGGCAGTGGAAATATTAAAAGGTACTTTTCTCCACCCTTTCCGGTTATCAGAACTTACCTGCCCTGCAGCTTGCCAGGTAAAATTCATGGACTGGATATTGACAGGAATAGCTGGCATTCTCTGTTGTGCTTTTCTGAAATCATGTGTGAAAGGGGCCATTTTCCCCTCTGAAACAATCAAGATATCTTCTTCAAATCCTGGTTTAAAAAAAAAAGAAAACTATCAAAGTAGGTGGTGTCAGCAACTTCATGCAAAAAGAACACCAAATGTTTAAGTATGGGCCATTTCTTTTCACAAAGCACCTGCCTTGGTACCAGTTTATTTTCCTCTTATTGTGATAAGAATGATGCCAACAGACACATGCTTTCAGGGAAAAGAAGTGGACATGGAGTTAACTGGAGCTAACAAATGCTGGGTCCACCTAAAAACGTAGGGCTGTAGAAACTAGCACCAACACGATCAGAACACTAGATCAACTTAGGTTTCTTGAGACAGACGTTTATATGCTTCAGATAGAAAACGGCTAATTAGAAAGGGGAGCAATCTTCCTTAGAAATTAAGTTTTAAAAACATGCTATTATAAATGCATGCATTATCTCCTTCTTTAATGGAAGACCTGGAGACACAGGCAGGGGAAGGTGCTGGGTGCCGGAGCCTTCCTTACCTATGAGCACTCTCGCCTGGTGAGCGTCGATCCACAAGTACAGGCTTTCCTCCCGCGGCTGCCCGACCTCCGCCCGCAGCACTAGCAGGCACGGGAGGATGCTCCAGAGCCCGAGCGCGGCGGCAGGGAAGGCACTTCTCTGGGCCATGCTATTCCGGACCTCCTTGCTGGTGGCTCTCGCCGCTGAAACTCCTTCTGCCTCACCTACCCAACCCGCAGACGTTAAGTTGTTCCCGCGTAGAGGTCTGGGCTTGCAGCTTCCCGATAGGGTGCGAGTGAGCCTGGGAGAGCCGGAGGAGGGAGGGTAAGAGCGGGCGCCCGCGGGGCAAGAGGAGGGGGCGCGAGAGGGAGAGGGGACAGCAGAGACGCTAGACTGGCAAAGCAGCCAATGCCAGCATGCGCCGCGAGGCCAACAGTCGGGTTAAATACAGCGAGAGAGGGAGAGCGGGAAGGGCGAGCGAGGAGTGAAGAGGCCCGGCCCGCCGCCACTGGGGGGCGCTGCGGAGCGCGCGGGGGGCGGGGCGGCGCGGGGCTCTCGGAGGCTGCGATCACGCCGCGGTGCGCAAAGTGGCAGAGCGCGCAAAGGGGGCGCGTGGTGGAGGAGAAGGGCGCTCAGAGGGACCCCTGGGACGACGCTCGCCTGTGCCTCCAGCCAGGCGAGGCATGGGGAAAGGGAAATGGGATGAACTGACAATGCAGGGCTTGATTGAGCGCGGATGATGATGATGATGATGATGACGATGACAACGGCTCCCGTCGTCTACCGCGGTGCTAAATGGAAGCGTATATTCTTCCACTTCTCTCTTTCCGCTACTATCATTCGGCTCTCTGCAAATCCTGCCCTATCTGACCCGCGCTACGTTGACATTTTGCGCATTCTCATACGTTTAAAACCCGAGTCTTCACCGTCCAGTGCTGCCCTGATTGCGGGCACTTGGCTTGACTCCGCACTTGTCAGACACTCTGGAGGGTGCTTTAACAGTTGGGGAGGCTCTTCTCGCCGCTAACCCGTCAGCACCAGGAAAATTCCCCTAGGCTCTGGATGACAGGCGTACCTGACCACGTGGGGGTAGGAGGGATCCCCAAAGTTCTGAATATCTTTATAGTTGCTGGTGTTTCAAGAAACGTGGAGACACGCACTGGCACAGAAGTCACAGGTGCTTGAGGACAAGACCAGGGCTCTGGCCGTGCCTGTTGGAGAGTAGTTGGCTGGCAGGGAGCTCCAGCCTAACACACCCACCAGACCCCAGCAGAAAAAAGCTTAACCCCTACCTACTCCCTTGGATGCAGAAAGACAATGTAGGAAAAGGCTTTTTAAGAACTTAGAAAGATTTCAGACTCAGAAAAGGGTTGTTTACTTCTCTTTTTTAGTACCCAGATGCTGTGACAAATGCCCCAAGGATTGAGTGTCCCCAGACTGGGCATGGCGTTTCACTCAGTGCTTTGTAGAGTACTGGAGACCTCAAGAGGAAAAACAAACAGAAAACAACAGGAGAAGCTGAAAGTGTGCCTGCATTGCGTTAAATAAATACTAGGTCATGAGAAGTTACAAACAAAAACCCCCCCAAAAAACAGAATATGCAATTCCAATTATGAAATATTTTTAGGTGTACAACTGTTGATCTTTGAAGAGAATTACACAAGTCTGTCTATGACTATTTGAACTTGCTGTGTCTTCATTTTAAAAGTACTTCAATTTGAAGTGCTTACTTAATCCTCACGACTCTTTCAAGTAGGTACTATAATTATTTCCATTTTACTGATGGGTAAACAAGGTTCAAAAAGGTCCAGTAAGTTGACTGTGATTACCCAGCTGGTAAGTGACAAAGTCAGGGTTCAAATCCCAGTCAGTCTGATTTCAAAGCCCATTCTCTTAGCCACTATACCTCATACTGATAAGTAAATCATAATTAAGTCTGTTCACATCCAAAGCTTCACAACCGTTCTTCCTTTAAAATAAAAATAAGTAACCTCTTTTCAAATATTTCATTAGTTTTTATTTCAGGGAATATTCATTTATATAATGTATTCATATACACTGAGCAATATTTAAAACACTTTAGCGTTATAATGCCAATTGTCTCCTAAAGATGATAATTTCACAACACAATAGACATTTTCTTTGATTCCAGAAAGTGTGGTTTTAATCGAAAAATTTTTTCCTTAGTATTGCTCAAACCCCTATAGCTCTTGGTGCAAGGACGCCCTCTGCAGGTTGTTCTAATCAAATACTAGTGATTGAGAAATATCCTTCATGAAATGTACTTTTTAGTAGAGAAAAACAGAGACTAAATTTCCTCCGAATTCAACTTCTTCTGAGTGAGGTTCTTCTGCAGCAGTTGAATTTGGTGTTGATAATTAGTGATAATATATCTTGCTACAGCAAGGAATTATTTTTCCTTCCAGAATGGTTGGTCTTTGTTCACTTCTCCCCAACAGTGGACAATTAGAAAAATTATATTTTACTACAGATAAATTTAAATGCTATTTAAAATATCTTGGATTTGAACTCTTTTGGTTTTTAAGAGGAAGGAAAGACCATGTTTTATGTTATATAACAGTCACATATTTTGAAGAGTAATAATAGGCTGTACTTTTTGGGGGGAATGTCCATCTAAGAACAAAACCAGGCTTGACTCTCCTTTCTGTTCTTAAGGAGTAGTGAGACTGACTTTTTCATTTAGAATACAATCATGTTTTAAAATTTCTATACTGAAATAAAAATGTAATAATATTTATTTGCACATGATAAAAATTGGAAATAATGTGCTAGGGGGTATTACAAGTCAACTTCTTTTAGTTTGCAAGTTCTACCATTTATTTTCCATTTCATTATTCTTTTTTTCCTTGCATAACTTATTCCCATCAATTAGATTTGCAAGCAGGTTCATTTATTTGTTCATTAACTCATCTACATATTCCACAAAGATTTATTAAACTCCTATTTTGTGCGAGGCATTGTCCTAGAAATTACAGGAAAGACAAAGGCAGAAAAAAAATCACAAAACTACATGAAAAACAAAACGTGATTCCAGCCCTTGAAGAGCACTGGAGTTTTTAAAATGAGTAAGACAAACACCCAATTAACCATAGTGTAAGGCAGAGAATATGGTGATTGCTGACAAGACAGAAAGACTGGAATTTCAAAGAGGAAATCTCAAAGCTGGGATTCTAAAAGTTTTTTAGTTCACGCATTCATTCATTCGAAAAACATTAACTCAGTATCTGTTGTGCGCACTGGATAGGCACAAGGGACGGAAAGGCAAGCAGAAAGCCCCTGCTCTCGAATTCTCAGTCTAACAGGCAAGAGTGTTAAGAATGAACAATAGAGGGCCGACCGAGTGGCGCAATGGTTAAGAACTGGCTTGGGACGCCAGAGGGCCCCGGTTCGGATCCCACATATGAGGGCCAGTGACGCTGCCCTCTACAGCTAAGATGCTGAACAACAGCTCAACCTGGAGCTGGGCTGCACTGAGTCGCCGGCGACGGCTAGGCTGCAGCCCCTGTGGCAGTGGGTTGCCATGGGCTACCGTATGTAGCCAGCGGCCAGTGTGAGCGGCCAGCAGCCGCAGTGAGCGGCCGTCCAGAAGCCAACGACTGATGTGCCTCGCCCGGGAAGAGCGCAATGATGGTGCCAACTTGGGCCAGTGAAGCAACGTCCTCCACAACTAGACGGAAGAGCAAAACGACAGCAACTTGTCTGTTCCCCTTTCCCCAATTCCCCAGCACTGTTTCCATCCCCCCAATTCCCCAATAAGAATCTTAAAAAAAAAAAAAAGTTTAAAAAAATAAAAAAAGAATGAACAATAGAGAGGAATGACTACCATGATGGGGACATACACAGGGTATTTTGGGACTCAGAGGAAAGTCTCCTAATGCAGACTTGGTTCTGGAAGACTTCCTAGACTGCAGGGTACTTGAGCAGTCTTGAATGTGCAAGGTTAAAGGACAATTGAACAAGGGAGGGAGACAAGGGATGTCCATGCACAGAGAGCAGCAATAGCAAGAACAAAGAGACAAGAGAAAGAGTGGTACTACCCAGGATCTGCAAGGAACAGCCTGCAGTATGAGAAGCCTGGAGTGGGGGAGAGAGAGAATGGATAGATGAAGCCAACAAGGTAGGTAGGAGCTGACATTGGAAGATTGTTCTGAGAAGAGTCCCAAATAATTTATAGAGAGACAGTGTCCTTAAGGAGGTGAAGCAAACTGCCCACTCTGTTAGTAGCCTGTGCATAGTGACTTCCTTTTATAGAGTTCAGTAAGGAAAGGGGGAGAAAGAGTAACTTTACAATGAAGGAACTTGACAGACATTACCTCACCCAGGTGATCAAGGTCAACAGTGATCAGTTATGTTGATAGTATGTACCTTTGACATGATATGATGAGAATGGCACTTGACCTCTGCGACCTTCTCCTGAAAACCCATAATTCTGTCTAATCATGAGAAAAATATTAGAAAAACCCAACTGAGGAGCAGTCTATAAAATACCTGACCAGTAATCCTCAAAACTGTCAAGGTCACCAAAAACAAGGGAAGCCTGAGAAATTGTCATAGCCAAGAGGAGCCTAAGGATACATGACAACTAAATGTAATATGGTGTCCTGGATGGGATCCTGGAACAGAAAAGGGACACCAGATAAAAACTAAGGAAATCTGAATAAAGTATTAATAATAATGTATAATATTGGTTCATGAATTATGACAAGTATACTAATGAAAAATGTTAATAATAAGGAAAACTGAGTATGGGAACTCTATATTATCATTTCCATTTTTCTGTAAGTCTAAAACTATTCTCAAAAGTAAAGTTTATTTTAAAAATAAAAGATAAAGACAGATACATTCAAAAACACTTAGCTGCTGACATTTGAAAATCAGATTTCTCATAAGACTTTGGATTTCTTGCTTCTCAAGGCTTTTTCTGGATTCCCATGGCTTTTTCAAGGAAAATTTAGAGATCTGGCAACATTCCTTCCTTACAAGGGAATGTGTGTTAGTAGCGGTGTGAGTTGGGACTGCCATTTAAACAGGGCTAGACTTCTCATAGTTACAATACTCCTCTACCGAGTCTGCTTCACTCATCTACTTGAATTGCTGGGCTTTTGCAGATTTCTGAGTTTGCTGATGGTGGCCTGGAGGAGAGGCAGTGGGACAGACAGGGAGAAGATGCCTGAGGGGGCTGAAGCCAAACCTCATCATGGAAGTGCAGTTATGTGGGAGCAAGGGCAAAGCCTGCTGTCGAGGGGAATCTTGTCAGTACCCTTTCTGCCAGCCACTGTGCCTCAGGATCTCAGCCACAGCTACCGTGTTGGGACTGAGACACAGGCATATCAGCTGCACCCTGAGCTGTGTTTGGAGAAGGTTGGGGGGCAGGACCCCCTGTAGCACACTGGCGTGGAAAGCAAGCCGCTAGATAGTGAAAAGAGCAAGTTGCTAAGCATTATTTTTAATGTAGTCCTGTTTCTATAAAA